GGGGGCGATCCGGGTGGTTATTTTGGCAAAACCTCTAAAATGTGGTTATTTTGTGGCAAAGGGTTGTGTAAACCGGTTATTTTTATAAATTTCCCTATTAACTTTTGTATTTTTTTACTTTGCAAACCACGTTATTTGTACAAACCGTACAAACTTCATTCAACCAATCATAATTTWTCATTTTGTTTATTTTTTTTTTTTGTAATTATGAGAGGTTGATTAATCATTTTTTTTTGTGGATGGTGTTATTATCGTTTTCATTATACTAATTTTCGAGAAATAATAAAACAGTTCCATTAAAATTTTATAAGCATTGTATAAAACAATTTCATAACCATATATGGAACAACTTCATCAAAAAAGTAATATATGAAACAATTTCATGAAAAAATTTAATAAGATTAAACAATGAAATCGACAGATGATGGTGGCTTGCTCGGTTTGTACAAATATGAGTGGTTTACATTTGATCGCTCATATATATATAGAGGTTGGTTATTATATAACCTTTGACATTTGTGCAACCAATACAACCTAATCTCAACCGTCCATTTCATTTGATTAATATGTGATTTCATAGAAGTTTTGATTGTTTCATAATATAAAGTATTGATCATAATTAATTAACCATATTCATCTTCCATAAATATTTAAATCATAATAAATAAACTCTCAACATTTCCATAAATATCTCAATTTATTGGGTTGCATTGGTTGTACAAATGCGACAGGTTGTATTTGAAACAAACTCTCTCTCTCTCTCTCTCTCTCTCTCTCTCTATATATATATATATATAGTAGCGATCAAATAAAAACCGTCTCCATTTGTGTAAACCGTGTAAACCAATCTCACTCATTCATTTTCTTGATCAATGGTTAAGATTAATCAATGTTATTTAAGAAAATTAAAAATAAAAAAAAATTGAAAATACATTTTATAATACCGATAAAGGCAAAATGGTAAAACCAAATATTCATTTATTCAAGGAAACCATATCATGTATATCATATTATTAATGAAACTAATCTATTTTTTGTAAAGTAAATTATTAATTTTACGTTAACATTTATTATTATTAATGAAACTAATTTATTTTTCATCTTGCAATTATTTCATGACGAACCGCCTACATTATGCACCCGTTTCATTTCTTATTTCATCTACTGAATGGATCACCTACACCATCACTGAAACGAGTTTCACCATGAAAGCAGTTCACCACTCATTGTTCAATTACACCATGAACCAATTTCACCTTCATGAAACCTGTTTCATGTAAATTAATTTTTTTATTTCACTCATGATTTGATGCATTCTTTCCTTTACTCTTTACAATCTTCAAGATTCTGGAGCAGATTACAATCTTCAAGATTCTAGAGCAGATTACAATCTTCAAGATCTCGAAGCAGATTCATCATGTACCCGTTTCATCATGCAATTATTTCATGACGAACCAAATAAATTATGCACCTGTTTCATGTTCCATTTTTTCTACTAAATGGATCAACTACACCATCACTGAAACATGGTTCACCATGAAATGATTTCATATTACTCATGAATCAATNGTTTCATGTTCCATTTTTTCTACTAAATGGATCAACTACACCATCACTGAAACATGGTTCACCATGAAATGATTTCATATTACTCATGAATCAATTACAACATGACCTAGTTTCACATTAATTTTTTTATTTCACTCATGATTTGATGCATTCTTTCCTTCAATCCTTACAATCTTCAAGATTCTTGAGCAGATTACAATCTTCAAGATCCCGAAGCAGATTCATCATGTACCCGTTTCATCATGCAATTATTTCATGA